TATATATATATATATATATATATATATTTCAAAAAGTACTGTAAAAAGCGAGGAAAATGAGGCGTCACAGCTTCACAGTGGGAAAATTCTGATAGCTTTTCTTACTTTTTAATCAATATTTTTACTGTCATGTTTTTCTCTTGAGCAAGCAAATTACCGATGTGTTTCAATAATTGATATATTGAGCTGAAAGCGTAGAAAAGAAACAAAAAAAGCTGAAGGTTTCAAATTTTAGACTAATAATATGTCAACAAATGCTTTGATGATTGAAAACAGAAATAAGAGCAACAAAAGTAGAAGCAAAGATGTAAAAGTAATAAAAGCACTAACTCTGACAACTTTGAATGACAGGTATGACAGGTGAAGAAAAGTTTGGATCCCACTTTCTACTTATTTCATTATGATTATCAAAGATATCATTATTTGCAGCAACAACCTCATTTTCAAGACTAATAATAAATAGTAATTATATCTACTTTACGCTGAGTGATGGTTTTTAGATTTTTACACATTTTACAAGACCAACAATACTTTTTCACTTGGCAGTGCAAGACGTATGCGCTGCAAATTTATCAATCTAATCGTATGTTCAAAGTTGTGGATATATATAGTATAGTAATACAAAAAGAAGTTGACTGCTGAAAATTTAATGATTGATAAAATCTCTTAGTGAAAGGTCGCATATTATTTTCAATGCTGTCATTACTGTCCATTTCATACGCATTCATATAATTAGTAAAAATCATTTAAATAAATGACATGTTGTACAACTTAAATAGTACTAAATTTTGTCGTCAGCTGCTGACATGTATAAGGAACCGCAGTTATTAATTACTTGACGTGAAATACTTCTGTCATCAGCAGATTTGCATAAATGATAGTCACCATCACCTATGACAATCTTAGTTATTATGAATCACAAGAACCCTCTCACCGTGATTTTGAAAAAAAAAGGAGACATCACTTATCTATCCATCCATAATTAAATAATTGAACTGATTTATTGTGAGATGATATTAAAAAAGTCTTATCAATTTAAATGACTTCTTGTCACACTGTTTCTCATTATTACTGCGCCTGAGCATGGGAGCCATGCATTACTATCTCTTCAGCTATTCCTTTGGGTTTTCTTCGAATTAAGCTTTACCTATAGGTATTATCACTGTAATTTTACTCAACATTTTACCTCCTTTTGAATTTATCAGACACCGTAATATTTCTGTTTGCATTGTGAGAAAGATTACAGCATGTATTTAATATATGTGATAAATAATTTGGGATGGCAATCTCTCTGCAACAGATTCAACAATCGTGTTTTGATGAAATGCAATGAAGGTGAATTAGCATCGAGTACATAATGTATGGAAAATCAAATATTAATTTATTAAGGAAGACAAATTGACGACCTCTTGGGAATAGAGAACTATCATCGACTACTGTGCGGTTGCTTACAAACAAAAAATGTTAAGATGTGGACGACATGCTGTGCGATTTACATGCATGTACTAAGTCCCATTATCGCATTTTCTGTATCTGTTCTTGCGTTTCAGCGATTGCCGCCCTTTCATAATAATCTTCATCAAGAAGTACCAGAAAATTACAAGAGAAAGCAAGCAAGTGTTACAACATGCTTTCCTTTAAGGACAACACCAAACGCTTCCATTCACTATGCATAAGTTCTTATTTTTCCTACATCCTCCGCCCTTTTCATAGCGCATCTTCTTTCAAAGCTAGTAAACAGTTTTAAATCCCATTGTTCTTACAATACAAAGAGCGATGACCACTTACGCCTTCATATTTTCAAAAACATACGATTAGAAACGGTCGTGATTATCGAACACTGCATGACTCCCTCCACAAGATAAAGATTTAATTGTGATCAATAAGACACCTTATGACCCCCTCTGAGACATTACTTACAAAAGAGAGATAGGCCATTTCAATTTTTTCAAACAGTGTCATATTATGTGATTGCTCTCGTACTAGTCATGATACTTCATGCCCTATTTTGTCGTAAATGGTGAGAAAACCTGAATTTAATGGTCATTCACTTGATTTTAAATAGCTCCACTAAATATTTTTAATACAAATTATGTATGCGCGCAACAAGCCCTTCTACAATTCTTTGCTCCATGTAAGTAGAAAATATACTTTTAAAATTGGTAAATAAAAATTTATGAATTCAAAAGTACAAAAAGAGAAATTATTTCACAAGTAAAAACACTTGTGATCATACAGCGCTGACAAATTCTTTATTTTACTATTAATTCACTAACTTTCATGTTTAGGAACAAAATATACATAAAATTAGAAATTCAATCAAATTTAATCGGTACCAAAGGAAACTGTGCCGTCATCGGGCTGCAAACGTCGACAAGAAAACATAATAAACCACCAATACCCTCAAATAAACTATATGGTCGATCTGGTTGCCTAGCATTTTTTCTGAATTCTTGATTGCATGCAATCATTGCAAAACATCGTGCATAGTCCAAATATTTCTACAATAACAACTTGTCATCATACTTCATTGCGAGAAAAGTTCTATGACTATTCAACTTCTTCACATAAAAATGCTTACGGTATTTTGAGTCAACCGGTAATAAAGAAGAAAAGCATATCCACTGCCTGCAACTCCATGGCAAATTCCAGGTCCTTTACGCAAAACACCCCGTTCCCATATGAGATTAAGCGCTTTTTCAGCAGCCTAAAAGATCTTTATGGAAGCACCAAGTATTTTATAAGCCAAAAAATAAGATCAGAAGAAGTTCACTACAAACTACGGTCTTCATTACCAATTTTCTGTCACATATTTCTTCAGAATTTTATTTCAACTACAAAAGTATTAGATAATTTACTGAAATAATTCATATTGTGCTTCAACAGCGATTCCCATAAGTAAAAAAGAAAGCTCAACACGGCGGAAAAAATAAGTTGAAAAACAAAAAATTCTCTCAAACTCTGAAGAAATGAAAAAAAAGAGGATATTCTTTATTATGTAGATGAAAGTATACAAAACAATAATATGATACACAAACTAGTTGCTAAAATTACTACTAACTCTGCGAGCAAAAAAGAAATAAAAATTAAAACCTGCAAGAACTTGACGTTTTTGAAATGCAAATAAGCTAGAATCATTAACGGAACAGCTCCCGAGGCTCCATGACACCAATGTACAAGGTCATTAGATCCATGATCAATGCCAATTTCTTTTACATCAACCGCAAAATTGCCATTTTCCGCTTGTATTTCTAGCAACCAGTTTAGTGTATTCTCAATGTCATTTACTGCAGACTGTTCCAGAAGAGGAAAAAAACTGAAATGATTGAAAATATTTCTGAAGACAGAGATTTGAAGTAAATGAAATATATATTCAGCAGTTAAATGATTTATGAACAGGAAAAATATTTACTTAAGAAGCATTTGAAGAATACCCATGAGACCATGAGCAGCACCAAGGTATTCAACGTCATAATACTCATACATTAACGGTGTCGGAGAACTGTTAAGTTGCGCATATTTACGCCCAGAATCGATTATGCAATTGATAATTTTTCGAACGCGTGAGTCAGGTACGATCTTACGATGTAAACGCATCCTACAGAAAATAAGCTAAAAATAATGAAAGTAATTTCCAACACACAAGTAAACAACAATAAAAGCAAAGAAGCCTAAATAATACACTAATCTAATTTCTGTTGCACTCCTGAAATACTGAACTTCAAACCTTAAAGTGGAAATTGCTGCTAAAAAGCCAGCTCTCCCGACAAGCATTTCATCAGCACCTCTTGGTAAATAATGGTCAGCACATATTATATCAATTAAAGATGATATTTCTTTAAGAAGCAGTAAATTTACACTTCCACTCCATTCATAATCCAATATGGCTTTTATTACCTTTACCCCAAGAGTACCGAGTAAATAGAAACCTCCTTCGTCACGTCTAGTCTGTAAAATTTGTTCCAGCATTAACATTAAAGTTTCCTTTACTTTTTCAAAGCAAAAAGTCAGAATATGCTGAAATTCATGAGTTGGATCCCACACTTTTTGTTAAATACAGTAACTTTAAAGTCATAAATGCTCCGCTAAATTGTACACTATACATCATAATAAATATTGCCTACCTTCACTAAATTCTTAATCATATTTTCAAACACATGTTTTTCAAACAAAACAGGTCAGAATATGCTAAAACTTCATATTCTTGTAGAACACGCAAAATAACATATCTTTTTCAATTTTTTAACTTCTGACAACTTTGCAGTATAACTAACTTCATTTTAAAAAATCACCACATGTTAACAAATATTAAGTTAAAAAAATTCTATAGAATAAAATTCCCCACTAGGAAAATAAAACACCTCCATATATTCAATGAAAAACGATTCGTTGCAACCGATGGATGCGAAAATCACGAAATTACTCACATTTGCAAAATCTAAATGCGCCTCAACGACTTTAGTACAGAAACTTGCAAACTCCACTTGCTTCTCTGGAAGAAGTCTCGTTGCATAAAATATACTGTAACCATCTCCTGCGATCCCAACATAAGGGCCACCATCAAACTCATCTTTTGTGTGTTTCTTTTCCATAATTTCTTTTGCCAGCTTGGCAGCTTCTACTTTCAAGACTCGTTCGGTAACCTACAGGTAATGCAAGACTGACTCTATTCAAAATTGGAGTATTACCTCCAATAAAAAAAGCAGTAGACAGAATGTCAGACATTCCATGAGTGCGTAGTTACCTCATAAGTCGAAAAGCATATGTTCATTCTATCATTAATTCTAGTAAAGAGATGAAGTGTTGGAATAGACAGCAAACAGAAAGACTGATAAGAATTTACCTTGTCTGCTACATCTCTACTATTTACCAAATACGGATTCTCGAAATATCGGTTGTGGATTTGTTTAAACATAACACAATACCAACTAGACCTGTCTTACGAAATATGAAAAAAGCTCTAGAACACCTCTACTTATCTTGATAAACATATGCAAATTTGTGTTGGCAATAAAACACTCAATCTATGGCTCATAATTATTCATAAATCTGCCACCTCTATATTCATCTTCCATTTTGAATAACAATGGCAATACTGCAAAATCTGACCACTAAGATAACAATGTGGCTGAACAATCGGTGCCCGATAGAAAAATTGCTTTGTTAAAAAGCACCATGCTTCCATCATAAACAAAAACAAACTACAACATTTATAAACAAAATTTTATTCCACATTTACACACAACCTTTCTGTTTTTTAAACAACACTTTCCTGCAGCATTTAATTTCCCTGTAAATGGACCTAGATAATATGTAGAATGTCTATATATTATCATGAAATTTGAAACTTCCACATTTTAATCGATTAAGGAAATGGAATAGGCACAAAAGGAAATTGTGCTTTGTCCGGTTCAAGCAAATCACAAAGGAAACACAGACTTCCACTAATTCCTTCGAATAAGCTGTATGGTCGATCAGGGGTACGAGCTCGTTGTTTAAAATTATCACTACAAAAACTTCGTGCAATACAGAGAGCGCAGTCGAGATAATGCTATAAAATGATAAATTTAGTGATGAACTTTAAGAATCCCAAACTAATCTACAGTTATAATATATTCTACAATAAGGCACGACAAAAATTTCAAAATGGTTACATGTTGAGATTAGTTAAGTACATAAAATTCATAATCCAGTGCAGAGAAAATGTAATTTGCAAAATGATGAAGCTCTGCAACTTAGAAATAGGGCGAAATTTCTCGTACCGTAATAATAATGATTATAATGAAAAACAAACAACAAATGCATCTTATTTCACTATAAATAAAATACCTTCTCCTTAGTAAGTCGATAAAATAGTAAGAAAGCATAACCACTGCCGCTAGCACCATGACATATTCCTGGTCCTTTTAGAAGAATACCTTTCTGCCAAATAAGATTCAGAGCAGCCTTTGCACTCTGACATTTCATCATTATAAACTAATAAAAACGACCAATTACTCCAATTTAATTTTTATATTACACTCCAATACTTATGTATAATATAGAAACATTGAGAAGATGCTGCAATTGTAAACGAAATTGCTTCGTTAAGCTGTTGTCATTAATTAATAAGGCATAAGTTCAAAATTACTAGCTCAAACCTGACATACTTCTAGATATTTATATTCTTCTGTTCGTAAATATGCAACAACCATTAGATGCACAGCACCAGTAGCACCGTGACACCAATGCACAAGTTCGTTTTCTCCTCGATCTATGTCTTTCTCCTCTAATTTCGATGGAAAGTTACCATTTTTTAGCTGTAGTGACAAGAGCCAATCGACTGTTCTTAAAACATCGGACTTTGCTTGACCATCCAAATACTGGTCAAAACTGGAAAAAATTATTGAACTAAATCAATTAAGAGATAAATATAATCATAGCTGATTACGAAAATAGGAATTTCAAACACTATTGCAAATAGTTTTTTCCTCGATTAAAAATTAATTCTTATATTATAATTAACAAACTTCCTTACACTGAGATGAGCAGTTCCATAAGTTCTGCAAATTATTAAAAGCTCAATCTGACGTGAAAAAAAGCACTTATATCAAAAAATTAAACAAGTGATTTCACCAAAGTAACATCTGCATAATACCCATTACACCATGAGCAGCACCAAGATAATGACGGTCATGATATTTATACATAAGCGGAACCCCAAAATCCTTCGATGCAGCATACGCTCTGCCAGAATGAATTATCTTTTCCACAACAGCTCGAGCACAATCATCTGGAATGGCCGCATGTCCTAAATGCTGTCTGAAAAGAACGATGAAAAACTTTCCCACATTTTTATAAATAGTTTTTCTATTGTTTCGAGAGAATGCATCAGTATGACTTATAGATATGGCACAAATAAACCAGTGGAACCTGATGGTGTAAATAGCAGCCAGAAAACCAGCACGACCAGCAAGCAGCTCATCATCTCCTTTACCAAGAACATCTTTTTTTGCAACGAGATAACAAAGTTTAATGAAGCGTTCAAGGAGTTTCATTCCCAAATCATTTTTGTTTTCGTAAATTATAATAACGACATATATACCTAACACTCCAAGCAAATAAGATGTTTCTTTGATAACTTGATTCTGTAACTACTTCTATGAGATTATATGGAAACAATAACCAGCAATTAAGAAGGAACTGGTTGTGTAACAGTACACTTTATTATTATATTTTAAAATTTCACTAACTCATTGCACCAAACTTAATACATTTTCAACTTTAAAAATATAAACACTTTTTCCTAGGTCATTTATGTTGCATTTAAAATTAATTACGATTACAGTCAATGATTACTGCGGGCAATTCTAAGAAAAACATTCTGATAACCAACTTTGCGAGCCTCGTTATAATGTTGTTTCAAAATTCGGTTACCAAATTTCAACAACTCAAATTTGTTATCCTCAAAATGAAATGATGCCCTCAACATTGCGTAAGCAATACCAGCTAAACCACTGTAAGCACCTCCATGTGTATCGACATTGCTGTAACATTGGCTGAATATTTCTCTCAGATATAGCAGTGCTCTCTGCTCCAACCATTTTTTTGTAACCTGGAAAGTACAATGTATTATGATGAAGCCATTTAAAAATGTTCTTACTATACCCTGAATACATCATGGATGTATAACATTCATTACTGGATGATCAATTCTGATAATGCATGTCTGAATACAAGACAGATAACTGACCAAATGTGAAAAACTTATCAAAATTACTCACTACTCCGGCTTCCAGTTCTGGATCCAAATAATAAGGGTTAGTCATATAACGCGGTAGCCACTTCGTGCTCATAATTTTTTGACGACAGAAATGGATTTTAGCTTTAAATAAATGACGGGGAGTTAAAAATAATCTCTGTCCCTGCAACGACTAGCAGTCGTTTACTGGAGAGCATATGTTAAAAAAAAGTAAAGTTATCAAGTCATAAGACAAACTACGAATAATTGTTTTATTTTAGTTAAAATAAGTAAAGACAACAACAACAAGTAATCAGTCCATCACGATCCATCGAATTCAATCATCCCGCGACCACCAATCAAGAAAAACGAAGAGGAAACAAGAAAGTGCTGTGAAGATAATGCTCTAAAAAGAGCTAACACTAAAATCTCCAGCCCTTTGAGACCACAGTCCTCCAAAAGACTATTATTACCTGCCTCGTGCCCTGCAAAAGATAATTACACCAACCTCCTCTTGACCCAATTAAATGTTTGAATTAATAACGTCCTCCCATGAATAAAACGTTTCAGTTTCGTTGCATATCTATCAAGTTTGTAATTTTTAATCCCATCATTCTTACCCACCCTTTGTACATCATTCCCAATATCTAGTTGTGTTAGTCAGTTGTTTCACTATTTTCATTTGACTGATATGAGGAGTTGTATTTAAACTTATCAGATCATATTTTCGATTTTTGTAGCATAATTAATTTATCAGTGATGCATCTCTGGTACTCTGTCTTCAATTTCTGATTTATATACTAGAAAACAAAATTTATGCAGATATGCCGAGATCGTTATGCGGAAATTTGTTATACTGTTTGTCATCAAGCCGTCTATTGATTTTGAGGTTCAAAAGCGGTATTCCATCACTAGAAGAGCTTAAGAAGTTGGAAAGTGACTATCATCCATCAACACATACAATTTTTGGTAAGCTTTTTGTGCGATTATCTGCTTCGTGCCCTCTATAGGAAATTTATATTCACGCAGGCTATGCATGTTTGTTCGCGAATAAAATAATCTAATTCATTTCAGGAAGTAGACGAAAAGATTCAATGCATTACACTAATCGAAAAGTTGGCGTCGGTTATTGGCACTTTTCGAACAATATTTATCCTATACGACTGAAGTTTCATCCAAAAATAGCGAAATGGATGAAGTTAAATTTCTTCATACTGTTTTCAGTATTTCTTGGTTTGTGCATCGATTTCAGCTGGTTCGTATCTTACTGATCTATTTATGGTTCAAATTTCATTTATTTATTGCTACTTTTTTCAAACATCAGACCATGAAAGTATATTATATTTGATAATGGTTTCCGAGAAAAATACTGTAGAACTTTTATCTGTTGAGGGTTGGTCATCAGATCAAGAAGATTACTACAAATTTTCGCCCAGAAGCTGCTGATCCTAATTTGAAAGATAATGAAAATTTTGATCAAACTGTTGTTCACAGTGTAGACACTAATAATAGAAAGAAAAAAAAAAGACTAAGCTTTCGGGAGAAGCGAATTATTGAATATGAAAATCGAGTCAGAGCATATTCTGCACCGGATAAAATTTTCCGATATTTCGCTACTTTAAAAGTACGTTTTACTTTGCATACTTTTTTATCCATTATTCCAGTTGAAAGAAAAAAGTAGAATCCAAGCAACGTCTTGTTTTTATTTTTAAATGTTATCGATTTTCAGGAATCACAAGTTTAAATTATAATACATTTGTATTGATAAAAATGTCATAACTTTTATCGTAATGTTGAGATAGCGAAAGACGGATCTTCTCGTACATTCGACATTTATATGACGCCTAAAGATTTCGTTCGCTCACTGACTCCAGGAATAATCCAACCGCATGGATTAGAACTTGACAGATTCATGTACTATGATCCACATGTATTTTTTCCTTTACATTAAAATCATACTCCCTGGCCAATTAACATCAGATATTTGTGAACAAAATTGTAAACATTGTGTCACCAGACATCAGTTTTGATATTAAAATGGATATCAAAGTTCAAATATGCTTTTTGTCAGTGTTCTGTGTAGTTACTTTTAAACGGGAACAAATTTTTCCAGAAGAATGCACAAAATTTTGCTAACCCTAATAGTGTATTTGCAAAATTAAATGAATATGGATTGATAAGTTTTGGCGACTACTTATTTTTGATGACTATGTTTTCAAGTGAGTTCCGTAGTTGATTGCTGTATTTTTTATTTATTTATTTCATCATGTTGGCCATCATTACTTTCCACCCGTTATATTTAATTATTTTTCAGTATCTTCATGTGATTTCGTGCTGGCTTTCCGTATATTTGGTGAGAATAATAAAGAAGAACTTAATAAAACCGAGTTTGAAAAATTGCAAGTGTGATTTCTTGTCTTGTTCAAAACCAATTTTTCTTAAAATAATTTGAAGTATAGAGTCGCTGGTTGATGTGTATATGTTTGATTTTTATGATCTCATTTTATCTTCATTTCTTCTCCTCCTGGAGAAGGGAATAACAGAAAATATCAGTTTAATTTTTCCAGGAATTAGCCTTGACTTATACAAATGTAGGTCAACGCCATCGTGATAATGCATCAGTCGGTCTGTATGCTAACAAAGATATCAGTCCTGCACTTTCATATTTCTTTTTTGGCGCCGATGGGAAGCAAAAGTTGTCGATAAAAAAATTTATCGATTTTCAAGTTAGTTAAATTGTCAATCAAACATTATGGTCGTGATTTTTATAAGAGCATAAAAAGATTTTCTGAAATTAGAATTGAGTTCATATCTTTTCTGTTCTCATCCCTCAATTATTTTAGATTTGTTTATATAAGGATGTATTGGAAATTGAACTTGAATTAAAAGATGAAGAATCTTTGCGATCAGGAGTCATATCATACATATCCTTTGCTGATTTGCTTCTTGTATACGCTGGTGTTTCTGGAGCTAAAAAAAGGAAGATGTTACATCGTGTAAAAAAGAAAATCAAATCAGAAAAAAGATTGGATGTAAATACATCATCTTATCATAAAACTGAACAAATTTTTAATTTCTGTCCTTGAATTGTTAAGTGACTTATAGTATCTGCTTTCAGCATTAAATTTTTTCAAATTCATGTGATTTCTTAATGTTTTATCTGTTGACTCATGATATTTTATGCCTCAACTGCAATGTTTTCACAGTGTAAGCAGTATAACTTATTTTTGATAATATGCATAATAGTAATAATAGTCATGCATTCTTATTTTGGGATGTTGCATTAATTGCAATCATTATTTTTAATACAGAATTTGTAGGGCATCAAAGTTGATGAAATTGAATCGTTTTTCGGCTTTTTGTATTCGATTGAAGATGTTGATCTGGCTTTACATTTCTTTAATGTAGCTGAAGTTGGTATTACTGATGAAATTTTGAAATCTGTGTCGAAGAAAATTGTTGGAAAAGAGTTACCTGAAAATGTTATTGATGTTGTCATTACTCTTTTTGATGAAGATGAGGTGAGATTTCAAATCACGTCCTAAACTATATCATTCTTCTTTCTAATTTATGCTTTTTTCTGTAGATAGTGTTGGTTGTTTGCCGTCAGGTTTATGGTGCATTTTAGGATGGAGCATTATCACGGGATGAATTCATCACAGTAATGAAGAAACGTCTTAAACGTGGTTTAGAAAAGCCAAAAGATACTGGTTTTATAAAATTATTCGACGCTGTTGGGAAGTGTTGCATGAATACAGTTAAGGATTCGCTAGATATCACTTAATATATCTGTATAAAGTAATGGTGATTTGATTAAGCTGGCATGTCATGTTAATGTCCTTTAAATTGGTTTCTATACATACCACTTACTGTAATCATCATAGATTGGCATATTGTGTTGTGTTGAAAAAAAAATCTTGCTCTATTATATCATGGAAGTGGAGAATGAGTGGTAGAAGTGTTTAAAATCCTAGTTTGCTGATACTATGTGCCTTAATATATTTTCTGATTAATTTTCGTAATCTAATTATTGTGTTGTACTATATTTGAGGTTTGTTTTTCGTACTTAAATTTGATGTCCAAGTTAAAACTGTGTTAGAGTTGGAGAATGGTTATATTTTTATCCTTCAGTAATTAATCACTAGTTATATACTCTCGGCTCAGTGCATGCATGACTGAGTGTCAGTTGGAAAAAAGAGCGCGTCATACCTTTGTATGCGCAAATATTGAGTGGATGATCTTTATTTTTTTGTCGTGTAGCGGAAGTAAGTAGTCATTTGATCATTGTATGTTTTCGAATCCTTCAGTGTTCTTATCTTTGTTTTGAGCATTTGTTTTTTTGTTTTCATCTGTAATTAAGTTTTTTTCTTGCTTTAATTTGTCGATTGTAGATTATGCTTTTTAAGGAAGAGTTCCTGCAGTTTGTACTTCTTTGCTTGTTTTCGAATAGATTTGTGTGCTAGAATTTAATCTCTTGGTCTTGTGTTTGGGATATCTACAAGGCTGAGAGTTAGCAGTCCTGATTCGGTTGCAAATACCGCTCTTTCGCTCATTTCACTATCAAGTCAATAAATTAACGAACAAGGCAGAGGTAAAAGGTAATCGCGTTATCAGTGCTTCAGCGTGCCTCGCTGCGTACCACGAGTGTGGCAAGGGCTGATGAGTATACATGAGAATTATACACTGCTCATTTAAATGTGTAAGTGATAGAACAAAGAGCAAAGAGCAAACGGAGACCACCATTGCCACAGTGATTGTCGCTCGGTGAGAATCAAGTGCATACGTAGGCAACGGCGTTAGTACTGCTTACCACTTATATTCTATTGCAGTGTCTTTCATTGAGCAACTGAGAGGTCAACTCCTATATGAAGGTGTCAGGTGGTAACGTCAATTTCAAGACCATAAGTACTTCTACTTCCCGGGTAAGTACTATTGTAGTTTTAATCAGATCCTGATTTGCTCTCCATTTGGTTGTGTTTTAACCAATGTGATAAACAGTGTGGTGGAAGAAAGTACTCACGCTTTTGCTATTAAAAGATCTCTGCTTTGTAATTTATCTTCTCAAGTGTTAGCTCTAAAATTTTGCACATCCAAAACTTTTTTTCGCTCATTTGTGCGAGGCTTCATTTATTTTAAGAAGTTGAATGGCTGTAAAATTCACTGTTTTTCGCTTTCATTTATTTCTTTTCATGCTTTAATCTTTGTACTTTTCTTATCATATTTATTGTATGTAGAAATTATTAATCCAATGATAAACCTTTGGGCAAAAATTTATTACATATTAACTACAGTCTTATATTTATTCGCAATATTATTCAGTTGTTGATATCATTCCAAATGTCATTGTATTTATTTATGCTTTAGGCACTCCAATAAATTGCAATATTTGTGTGTGAGATATATTGTTATCGAGTGCATGATGGAGATGAAAATGGTTTTTCATTATAATCAATACTGAAGTAGAGTGTAATAAGTTTGAAAATTTGAGATTACTTGTAACATGTAAGCAGAATAGATAGCTTTAAAGTAATCAGGAAAATATTAGCCTGGTAGAAAATAGTGTTTATATATGAAATATTGATTGTGTGGAAATCTAGTGAGGAAAATTTTAAGTTTTGTTTAAACATATAAAGTTTTGGTTCCTTGCATTGAAATAACTGCAGTGGCGTCATATTCTTTGCTTTGCTTGTTTATGCATGCATTTACTAAAATGAGCATAATCTTTTTTAGTGTTGTTACTTATGTGCTTTTATATGCTTTTATACCAAGTTTAATTTTCCAGTTATTTTTTCTTCAAAATATTTTATCATGTATTAATATTTTCCTGTTAAACGTCTCATTTATTTTATGCATTTTAAGTTGACAAGGCCTGTTCGCCTTAATAAGGGTTTTAAAACTTTTCCTACTTCGTATAATTTAATATTATTTTTTAGCCACCAAAACCCAAATTGCCGTCGTTTGAAGAGATAAAAAAAGCAGTGCCAGAAATATGTTTCAAAAAATCATTGTTCAAATCATTGATTTTTCTTATTCTTGACTTTGGTATTTTGTATGCTTTCTACAGATATGTTTATTTCTTCGAGTCGTTTGGGATTTGCGGGCTACTGGTCTGGTAAGTTGCTCTTCAAATTCTTGGATAGTTATTCATTACATTGAATATGCTGTTAATAGAAAATATATTAGTATGCCTAATTATATTTGATTTAAAAATTGATCTGTAGGTATTGTTTCATGGGAATGTTTGGGTCATCTTTATTTGTGGTTGGCCATGATTGTGGTCATGGTACCTTCTCTGAGTATACATGGATTAACGACTTGTTTGGTCACATCGCTCACGCTCCTCTTTTAGCACCATACTGGCCCTGGAAGAAATCACATAGACAACATCATCAGTACACCTCTCATATTGATAATGATATGGTATATTTTTTAATATTCTTTTTATGTGGGAGTTTGCTTTTTATTTAAATTCGTTGTAGAGATTAGTTTATGAATCGGTTTGATATTAGGGAACATATCTAAAATTTAGTTAAGCTTATATTATTTTTTTCATTCTTGTTGAGTGTATTTCTGGAAATTTTTTTCATCTCCAGGGGCATCCTTGGATATTGGAAGAAGATTTCTTGAGGCGAGGTTGGATATTCCGTCATTTTTCAAAATTTCCCCTTTCCGGCTTTATTCGGTTTGTGATATGATGTATTTTAGCGAACGGGCATTCCAATAAATGGAGATCTGTCGAAAGTTTCTTTAGAAAATACTGGCGTTACATATATATAGCTGCCGGAATTTAAGGGTTAATTAGCTAAGTTTGCGAATCACAAACGACAGACTGCTAGATATTAGTAGGAGCACATTATTTTATCGCTATTTTTGTTCAATTTTAATCTGTTATGAAGACGTTATGGCACTACTATAGAGATACAGATGCGATCAGCTGTAAGAACAAAAACAATGGTAACGACAAAAAAAAATATCAGAACAGATGTTAGTGAAACAACCGAACATTCCAACCATCAATCAGATTAGTTACCGAATGTTTGGGAAGGCTTTTCTGAAGAACTTTTCACTTTACAGGAGACTTTCAAAAAGCGAAAAAAAGTTATTGATTATTACGTTTATGCTCATACAACCCATTTTGAAGGAACAAAAACGAAACAAGTGAAAAATGTAAAGAAGAGAGATATGTAAATGATAGATAAAAGGATGATAAATGAAGAAAATACTATTGCGTAAAAAATTTACAATTTCGGAAAAGAATACTGTGTTAATTTACAATCAGGATATAAGAAGTTTACATGGAAATGGAGGATGAACGGAGAAAAACTACATCTGGCATCATAACAGACAACAATGGAAAACAAATGAAGATGTAAAAAGCTTCGTCAAGGGTGGGAGAGAGCAATCTGCTGTAATCAGGGGCCAGAAGAATAATCGCGCTTGAAGCACTCATTCGTGGAATCGAGGTTCAACAGAATACGTGGTCAGGAGAGGATAACTCTTGTGTCGCTTCGTGCATTGCAAGAAGCTCGTGTGTGAGATTAGCCTCCAACAATGAAGAAGCAAGCAAACTCTGTGGTGATCAATATTGCAGGTCGTCCATGCTCGCAGAAGCGGCTTTTATAAGAGACATCACAGCGTGACAAGATACATGGCAACTACTTCGAGGAAAAGCTACATGAGTCCAAGGTTTGTCTGGATGTAAAGCAGGAGTACCTCGTACTGATGCAAGGGGTCCATGATTGTATGTGTGGACCAAAGAAAGTGTTCTTGGAAAATAATATTGGATAGGTATTTAGGTGGCAAATCTCTTGAAGCTAAAAATAAAGGACCGCTTATACCAGGATTAGTGAGCTAAGCGACGGATGAAAATGCCACACAGAATATCTCCAAGTCAATGACTGATATTACACGATAGCTCCAGAAGGCTCATCAATGTTATGAAGAGATATGTTGAGAGAATCGAGGTGGGAAATAGGCATAGAAAAGAAGATGAGCGTGAATAGCTTCCAATAAAACTCTCACAGAGCAGTATTTAGCTGGTAAAAAATTGGAAGGTAAAGATGTAAAAGAGACCAAAAAGTGTTTGAGGAGCATGAATCTCACTGTTCTCAAATGTGACTGTCATGAGGCTCTAAGCATGCTGACAAAGTGTGTGAGAGTTATGAAAGTGAAATAAAAAGTTATAAGTCTCGATGTATATTCTTAAATGCCAGATGTGAACTGTTCAGAAGACGGTTCTATAGAACTATGACCGAAGAGCAACCACAATGTAAAGGCAGAAAAAATCACAAAGTTCTGGGCCATGATGTAGAACTCGAAAATAGGAGATGATGACATTCGACACAACAAATATCTCAATGTCAGATTCATCAACGTGGCTACGATTTGGAAATATTAGCCTACAGGATGAAGTGCGATACTGTCACCTCCAAGACAGAAATATGTTTGGAGCTAAGAAAAGTATGAGCACACATTGTAGGCAATGTGTGAAGACGGTGAGCCATCTAGCAACGCAGTGTGAGAAAATGTTATATCATGACTGTACTAGAAGACACTAAGTCCTGTGATGTTATTCATTTAGAACTTTGCAACAAGTATGGTCTAAAAGCTTTTCCATGCGTGCGCAGCAAGTCTGTTAAGGAAATCGTGTGCGAATGAGAATGTTGAAATTAGGGTCGATAT